CCTCTCTCCCTCTCCGAACCTAAGAAAATCACGCATAACAACCATGGTTCAAGCGATGAGCGATGACCGAGTATAAGCACAAGACTTCAAATCTTGTTCTCATTTGAAGCAAGCACTTAAAAAGGGAACACAGATGTAATTCACATACAGCTCCTTGAAAGCGGATGGTAAGCGCAGACAGTACAGTGACGGCTAGCAGGCGACTTATTTACTCAAATTAAGACGACGCAACGCTACCAAACACACACGCGCTCCAATGTGGTGCTATAGAAGCTAGGCACAAAGCTGACAAAATAAGTTATTATATTCACACAGCCAATGGGAGTGGAAGCATACACAGAACTGCTTTCTATAGGTAGTAGAATAAAATCGGGCATTCCGATTGATTAGACAACTCCTAAGTATTATTAACCTACTTGCAGGTGTAGTTTCTTCTCCGTGATATCGAGGTCCAAGCAGGCTGCAGATTCAATACCCGGTAAGGTTATTTCCACTTTGATAGCAGTTGGCCGTGTGGATCGAATGCTATGACAGCAGTCGTTGGTGTAATCCAACATATCGAATTCGGAACTGTGAGTGATCATGACCTCTGGTTTCTTGTACTTTGATGGCAACGCCGCCTCTTCATCTTTAGCCATCTTTTCGATAGTTCCCATATTCTCATCCAAGTATCGCTTGTACTTGGAGAGTGCAGCCAAAGTCTCCTTAGGATTGGGACCATTGCGCGCCTCAGCAAAAGCCGCTTTTTCTGCCTCAGCCAGTCGCTCTTGACATTGCTTGAAGTCGGCACGCTTCCGGCGAATAACAGTGGCTCGAAGGGTGCCTTTGTGAGTCAGACCCTTGAGGAGATGCACCGATGCGAGAATGGCCTTTTCTCCTGAGTGCGACGTCGACCAAACCGTCTTGGCCTGTTCTTTGGTGAGACCGAGAAAGAAACCAAATTGTCGATGCACACCTTCCACCGCGGTAGCGTGAAGTGAATTTCGCAGAAATTTTAAGCTCTTTGAACGTTCAATTGTATGAGGATGGAATACCACATCGACGATCTTAAAACAAAGAGACAGGCGCCGTGGCCAACTAAAGCGCCACAAAAGAGGCACCCAGTAAATCAAAACTTTATCCGACGGAAGCAAATGCCGATACCTCTGCACAGTTGCAACATAACATCACGCAAAGCAATAATAAATTCATATTATGAGTATGGTACCCATATAACAGTGCAAAACATCTTCCTAACCTATGTGTTTGACGAAATATATCGGTTCTTAAATATGCACATTCATCCCAAAATTTATAAAAGGAAATAGCAATTTAGATTGTGAAATGTCCAAAGGATATGAGAAATATCTGAAAGTAGGCGACCGTGTCTAAAAATCTTGTGATAAAAGTGCAACAAATCGAAGCTACGAAAATACTGAAAAGATAAGGCTACCATTCGCTCCAGATTACAGCGATTTCAAATACCATTCTCATTTATCCACTTCTCATATTTAAGTGGAAACTTCTGGATTTTGATTTCAAGCATGCAGATATGTGTATCTGGATGCCAGTAGACAACTGCTGCAAAATTCCAGTGACAAAGTGTGGAAAAGACGGTGGCAAAGAGATTTTAAGACATACATAAGATGGTATACATTGGTAGAAGGATGGCCCGTGGTTTCTGCATCATAGCAATGCACACAGTCTCATTTCGTTAAGTTATTCCGTAAATTGGCTCTACCTATTTATATCACCGTCCTGTAATTATGGTAAAGTCACTTTACACTATGGCGTGGTGATATTAGTGCCTAAAAGAAGCAAAAGCCGATACTAACGGTAATGGTGCAGCAAGCAATAAAGTACTATGCATAACATAATCGTCCAAGTCGATATTGTGCAACAATGACACTAAAACGTAATATAAATTTGAAAGTGAATTCAACTTCACACAGCACCCATAGAATCAAATCGCGATAATGACTGAACTAATACACCTTCGAAGTTTCAAAGAAAAATATCCAACAAGTACCTAATGAGCTGCAACAATTTCAACTTTGACTCACCAAACACAATTTGTTCTCCTTGTCTAGATCTTCCACTGGAGGAGAGAAAGAGTGTGGGATGCTCCAAGAAGGTGACCTCCCATCTCCACCAGGAATTATCTCGGGCATTCCTAGCTTCTCGGAGGAGCAGATGTTGATAAACACCTTCTGTCCCTCCACCATGCCTAAGGCCTCTTTGTGAAATTGATTCGCACCCGCCAGGCCTGACCTGAGACTGGGCCAATTTCGTGACTTTAGAACGCAGAATGGGATTGGTTTGATAAATTCAACGTCCACACCACGCTCCATTTCTGCCAACTTGATTTCCTCCTCATATCTTCAGAAAACGGAGAACAGTTTAAAATCAGTACACATACAATGCCTGCAACTACCGATGAAAGCAGGAAACAGCTTGCCACAACCAGTAGTAGTGATTTTGGAGAAAGACAGGAAGACTACGACCAAAGAGCATCAAAGCAGTTAAAAAGCAACTATGCAGTTCAGCTGCTTAAAACTTACCATATCAGTGAGCTTGGTGAAACGCAGTGAAATACGGCACCCCATGATTTTCCGAAAGATATGCTTGAATGTACCAACCGAATGTATTTAATTTAAATAATATCAGTGGGCGTTCTTGTATGGCAAAATAAATCATGTCGCCTGATTATTTAGAAAAGTACCAAGTAAACCTGCAATATCGATTCATGCAGGCCTCTGAAGTCACTGCTTGGATAAATGATGACAAACAACACGTGCGGAAACGCTTGATGAATAGGTGTGAGAAAACATTAATAAGCAACAAACCAAAACGTGCTGTTTGTAAGTGCACAAAACCAGCTACAAACCTGCGCTTATTTTCAGGATCGTTGAGCTCTTCAGCATACTCAGCGAATAATTTACAGAACTCTGGGTCTTTAAAAGCCTTTTCTAACTTCGTCAATTCATCACTTGTCAGTTTCAAATCCCTAAGAGACTTCTCCATTAACGCTACGACGCTCAAAAGCAGCGGGTCAACTGAACCGTTCACCTTCAAGACCAATGACTTGTATGATTGGAAGCTGATTTTCTTTAATTCTTTACCATGGCGCAAAATCTCCCTACATATAAAACATATGTGCATTCAAATTTTGTTTTAAGCCTTCGGATAGCCAACCTCGAAGACCATAAAATGAACTTCCGAGTTGCTGTGCCCATGAGTAAACAGCACCGCACTGCATGAACCGTAAACGTGGTTATGTCATTTTGGTCCCGAAAATTTTTGTATTAATGTCGGTCTCTTTTGGTGATGTAATACATACTAGTGCTTAAGTTGGCTTTTATAGGGGAGAGGTGGAAGACAATTCGGACGCGAATCCGGTGTTCAAGAGTCGTGAGGAATCCCTTTGCGGGTGGTATCTGTTATTCGATTCATCTGTGATCCTATCCCCGTTCTTCCTGTTTTCAATATTTAATAAACCTACTGCAACTACCCCTCCCTCACAGTCCGCTGTTCAAGGGCATGAGGATGGGCAGGCCGTTCCTGCGGGCGGCTGTGTTGCTTAAGCTAAGTAGGCTGCCATTCCGGACTTGCCAATGTCGAATAAGAGTGTTTCGTCAAGTCATACCGTTCTTACTATGATGGGAAGCTTCTACTTAAACATTGACTTTGAGTAAGCTGAAATGCTAACGCCATTTGGGAAAACCGAAGATATGCATTTAAATCCATGAGGGTTCTCCCACTTGTTGATAACTTATTTGTGTCGGAGAGTCATATGTGCTTCTGATGATAGTTTAATATAAGGCTTCCTAACAGCTCGGTATTAGCCAAAAAGGACAACAGCGGGACTTTGGTATGACCAACTGAAGCTAGGTGGCCTCCTAACTGATTACCACC